TCGTCATCCTCATGTATCATCACAATTCTGGCAGCTTGTCATCACGTGGAAACATGCAATTGACCCATTTTCATGTAACTTCAGTTCCTTTGATGAGATCATGCAACCTTTACGAGAGTCCAAACCAGACTCATAAATTAATGTGTGATGAGAGTTGCCGTTCTTGTCTCATCACAGTGATTTCAGTCTGGTGGTGGGCGATGATTGTACCATATTGGCTATAATGTCAAAAGTCAAGCAGTGACTTTTTACTCCTCCAAATGTTCATCAGTAACCAACCTAAGTGATTGACAGAGGCATTTGGAGTTTTTCATCATCGAAGTTCAACTAAATCATTTTATTTCTGGTACCCTTGGTTAAAACCAAATTGTGAACCAGAAAGTACAAAAATAAATCTATTTGCCTAAAGGTCACTGAATTCTCAGGATGAGCATGACTCTTCAAAATGCTACAAGTGAATCACTGTGCAGTGGCCGAGTTTGATGGGACATTATTGAAGTATAGACATTAAAGTTTGTTAGTTTCATCAGTGAATCATTTGAGAACCTTTGGAAGAGATTGTTTTTCCTAGCCTAAGTTACTCACACTTGTTATTCTGTCAAAATTAAATTGATTTTGAATTTGTTTACAGATTGACACTAACCAGGGAATAACTTGACGTTGTAAAGGAATAATGCGATGACCTTTTCCTGGATTCGCCTTCTGTTTTACTGTCTCCTCCTACTGATTGTATATACATGTACACTCTATCAAACCATTTTTTTAATGAAAAGTACATGTACACTGCCTTCAACTTAAAAAATCCTTAATAACAGAAAAACCTCAAATGTTCCAGCAACTTTCTGCCCAGAAATGTCTGTAACATTACAGAAACAAAGAACATTACAGTTTTGTTTGTAAACATGGAAATTCTCACGGCTTAAAAAACCAAAACAGTATCTAAAAATCCTTGACATGGCCAAAAAAAATCGCAATAGGTTTAAATAAATCACAAGGGTATATTCTCATATA